ATCACTTGGCACAAAAATTAGTAAGAAGAAAAAGCATCCGTTTTCCAATTTACAAGACAACACAATAGTGCGAGATACTAGCAGTCAACAAAAAAGACATAGACTCAAGGTAGTTTTACAATAGCTAGTCGACTTGCAAGTGGAAAAAGCGCAAAACTCCAAGAACACAGCGAGAGTGATTTCAAAAGCTGAACGTGACAAAATCTAACAGAAGACTGTATAAGCAATAAAAGTCAGTTCAGCAGTAGAAGAAGCCTAGATAGAACATCAAATACAATATTTCTTGACATAGAAGTGCTAAAACATAAAGGCACTCTAGGTTGTTAAAAAACGGTACTCGCTTCTTTAATTTTAGGGAAAATAGCATTAACCTTGTAGTGTAGATCTTTGGTATAACACAAGACTACCGCACAAAGACACACAAGGATACACGAAATCAACAACCTTTATTTCACGTAAAGACACGTTAAATACACGTAAAAACACGTAAAACACGTGACTTAATTAGAGCTTAAGCCAAAGGTAAAGAGTTATATTAAGCAACATACCGGTACACAAATCACGTGAAAGAAGCAATGCCAGCACTCGGGAAGTACAGAAACTTCTTTAACCAAACTGATGAGGAGAAACTAATATTATACAAAGAACAAAAGTTAACCTTAGTTAAACAAGACAGTCACATTGCAGACTTTTTAGGTTGTAAAGATGTACTTTTCATAGCAGCTTTACGTGAGGTTGTTGAAAGGTATAATTGGGCCCAAAACAAGGAGTTCAAGCAGGATATACTATCTAACGAAGAGAAAATTCTACTGGGACAAAATAGTAGTTTGGAGATAACACAGAAAAAAGACAATGATCTTAACCCAAGTCCCACAGATATGGAAATTATTTTCACAAAACCTGTGATTATATCTGAAAATTATAGTAACAACACAACTTGCAACAACAATAGCAGCTCTCGTAAAAGAAGCCTCGTAGAACAGGAGAATAGTAGTGACGTAGTTGAGCATAATCAAGAGGCAAGAGTAAACACAATTATTCAAAATGAGGTCGGTACATTTGACTATGGTCTCGAAGAGGTACTAGCTAGTAACAAAGCAAGGTCCACAAGAGTAGAAGGCAAACAGAAAAAGGCCAAAAAACAAGAGAACATATTTAACTCAATGTGGGCTCCGAGTGGTGAATACATATCAGAAAAGTATATACACGAATCACTGTATTTTTTCACTTTGTGGGACCTCCCAAGAGATATGAGTGGTGAAAGAATTAAGAAGTTTCTTAGATATTTTGGAGAAGCAACAATACTAGCATGGCAACATAACTTTACTACCAAAGCAGCTTTTATCAAGATTGTGTCAAACATAGAGAAGAGAGAAAACTCTTTAAAAGAAAATTGGTCTATACACTTGGATCAGGGTAAAACTTATCGAACAACACCCGGTAAATTTAATATTAAAGAATTAGAAGAATGAAACGAGTTCAAAAGCACAATCTTCAATGTACCAACAACTGCCTTTGATAGCCTGCTTCTCAGACAATTAAGAAGATTCAAGGTGCAGGCAGTGCACATACTAAACAATCGTAATGGTAATCAGTGCAGAAAGGCACATGTATACTTTAAAACTGAGGAAGATTTGGTACAAGCACAAAAATCAATTCCTTATTATTATAGCACCAAATTGGAGTGGAAGATGCCCATAAAAGAAGGGAACGGTAACCGCAAAAGAGAAAGCAACGAGGCACGTGGCTTGGCAGATAAGAGGAGAAAAACGAAAGCCAATATGTTAACCGCTCCTAAAGATACAATTGCTGCACCTCGCCCAAAAAGGAGAACCATACCACTAGTCGAAAGCAATAGAAGTAAAGAAAATATCCTTTGTGACACCAAGAAATCCTCAGGTCAGTGTGAGGTGAATTCTACAACAAGAAAAGTAGTGACTACAGAAATGCAAATAGAAACAGGAGTCCACAATACAGAGCAGAAAGAAAATATTCAAAACACAATCCTTGAGCAAATTCTTCAAAGACTCAATGCAATAGAGCTAAGGCAGAGTAGCCGAGGAGCACAGAATCACTCCTAAAAGTTGCTACAGGCATTTTTACGGAAAAAAGGGTCCAGAAAATATGGGAGGAGGATGCCTGGACCCTTCCAATGCAGAGGAGGAGTAGAATAGAAGAAAATGATAGTGTTATGAAGATAGCGGTACATAATATTAATGGGTTAAAGTCACGAAGTTATCGGTTAGATTTGGTTTTAGTATGGGCTGCACAAGAAGGTTTCGATTTGGTTGGGTTAACAGAGACTAATATACAAGAGCGAACGGGAAAACTTTTAATGAAAGATAAAGACAACTATCGAGGAATTTGGGCTTGTGCAGACATGAACAAATCTAAAGGTTCAGGTGTAGGGTTACTCATCAGCAAAAGAATAGAGAAATATATTGGAAAAGTAGAAAAGATAAATGAATTTCTATTAATTGTGAACTTTTATTTGCCAAACAACATTACGCTCTCGGTTATGGTGACGTATCTCCCACCAAGCAATAGCGAAGTGATAAAAGAAATTTCGGCTAAGATTCGTGACAAGATTATATTTTACGAAAGAACAAATTCTGTAATCTTAATGGGGGACTTTAATCATGTAGTAGACCCGCGATTAGACCGAGCAAGGCCATCATCAACACAAAAGAATTTATTGCTACATCGGTGGCTATTGTCTAGAGAGTACAAGGACTCCTTCAGACTTTGCAACCCAGAAAGTAAAAAATATACATGGAGTAATTCTACAACAGCAACAAGAATAGATCAGATCTG